ACAATTACATGTATGACTTTGATGTCTGCTTGTGGACACATTTTTAATGCATTGCATGGTATGGCCTGTCTGTGAGTAAAGTGAGCGTTAGGTTTAGCGTTTGCGCACACAATACAATTACATGTATGACTTTGATGTCTGCTTGTGGACACATTTTTAATGCATTGCATGGTATGGCCTGTCTGTGAGTAAAGTGAGCGTTAGGTCTAGCGTTTGCGCACACAATACAATTACATGTATGACTTTGATGTCTGCTTGTGGACACATTTTTAATGCATTGAATGGTATTTGAATGCCCTGTATGTGAATGAAGTTTGTGTATCCATGGAAATCATTCCGATAAATAACAATAATACTGAAATATTAACCCCATATTCCTATTTAAATAGGAATATGGGGTTAATTAACAAAAATTAATAAACATTTTAATTTTATTAAAATTAATAGATTTTATTGAGAATAATCTTCAGATTTACATTCTGTACAATAATAAACAATATGCCTTATTAATAAACAGTTTGCCGAGCGGTAAACTCCAGCCAATAATAATAGTCCCATAAACGCTAAAATCTCTTCAGCATTAGCAGTAATTGTCAAAGTCTCGAATAGGTAGACGTGATTATTTTTCAAACTTGGTAGTCTATCATACATTACTCATGATAAATGTTACGCTATTTGTAATTATAGTCTACCCTCTAGTATTTAATATTAATATATAAATAGTACCCCGATCATATATTAAAGTTACTTTATATATGAATCATCGTTTACCAGAGTATAGATGAGTATAAATTATAATGCAATAACTCCTCATCTGCGGCTCGAGAGGCAATACTAGAGCATTAGTGTCATCTAAATATTTTTGCCATTTGCTGTACTTTTGACTACTAATAAATATTTCATTGTTTGTAAAATTCACAATTGATTGAATCATTTCCAAAGTTATAAAACTTTTAAATAACAAGTAATTGTTTTCAGCGGTATTTTTGGTTATCGTTGGGCCGGACTTTTCTCGTATAATATTTTGTGGTTTTGTTTTAGATGTATGAGAAGAGCTCGGATTAGTTGAATATAACTCTTAATCACTTTCAATATCAATCTCTTCAGCACTTTGCTCTGTGTCTGAGGAGTGGTCAGATTCTTGTAAATCATCGACTTCTTTATCGCTTGAGTTGTCATCAAAGTTGTCATCATTTACGAGGTCTTCAAGTGCCTGTTGATTTAATACAACTCTTCGACTCATTGTAAATCAATTTAATAATTGTTTATTCAATCAAAATATGGTTTATTTTCATAACAAAACACCATTTTACACAAAACACATTTACAAATATACTGGACATCAATGGACACAAAAACGTTAATATTTATTCTTTTATCATTAGCCCCAAATCCCTATTTAAATAGGGATTTG